GTAGACAGAAAGCTGCTGGCTCACACTGACAGCTAGTAGGGGGTGCGAGCGGGAGAAGACAGACCGGATATTTTTTTCATACTGTGCCAGCTAAGAAATAGCCAGACTTCCTTTCTGTACCTGTCACAAGGCATTTGCATATTTCTGAATGAGATATTTATCCCAGCTTCCTATCTTTTAACGGCCCCTCTCCTCCAGCGCACGGCCAGCCATTAAATAATTAAAGAATTTTTCTTAGGGAACCTAGAGAGCACAAATGCGCTTTAAAATGTTCCCAGCACAGACTTGGGAGATGCCTGCTTAGCATCACCATTGATGGGAGTTAAATTAAAGCGTTCCATTAATTAGAACTGAATTGCTAACCTGGCAAGAATCCTAATTAGCCTGAGCCACAAAGTAGCTGTGTTCAGCAGGCCAAGCCCTCCGCCTGCCGCTTTTAAGGTTTTTTTCCTTGAGACCTACAGTGAACATGGAATGCTGTTTTAATCTGATATCCATGCAAATGTGTCTGTGCGAACATATACAGCCCAACTTTGCCTATGGCGGTAGTGAGATACACATATTCCACTGTCACCCACAAGAGGACCGGAGCCTCGGGTTTGGAAAGTGCTGTCTTGGTGGCACTGTGTCTACCAACAATGAGTGTCCCTCCCCCCACATACACACAACTTTTCTTTCTTTCGAGATTATAATTACATTTTTCCCTTCCCTCCCTCCAATGTTCCCCATGAAGTCTTCCCTGCTCCTCTTCAAAGTCACGGCCTCTGTTTTCACTAATTGTTACTGCATGTATATATGTATTTGTATGTACATATATTCCGAAATATAACCTGCTGAGTCCATGTAATGTTACTTGAATATGTGTTTTCAGGGCTGACCATTTGTCGACAGATGGCCAGTTGGTATACTCTTCCCTGGAGGACTACCTCTCCCACTCCCAGCTTTATTCAGTTGCTACAGAGCTGAGGCTTCATTGACTTTTCCCTGCACACTAGGCTAGGAAGCCATGCCTGCTTGGGGGAGATGGGTGGACGTTGGAAGGGAAAAAAAAGAAGGCATCAAATATCTCCAACAGAGGAAGTAAAGAAGACATTTCAGGATATGTCTTCCTGGTGGATTCTGCCTTACTACCACGATATTCACATCAGGATAAGGAGAACATCCATTCAGAACGTCTTTTGAGCTTTGGTGCCCTCTCCTCTCGTCTTTGCTAATGTTAGGAGTTTCTTTGTTGTGTTTGTTTGTTTATTTGTTTTGTTTAGAGACAGGGTTTTTCTCTCTGGTCTGGCTGACTTGGAGTCTGTTATGTAGACTACACTGCCCATCACCTCACAGAGCTCCTTGCTTCAGCGTGTGAGGACTCAAGGGGCTGTCTGCTACGGTGCCCTACAACTGGTAACTCATTCAGTGGCTGATCATATATTTAGACACTGGGCTAAATGGGTGTGTTTCCAAAGTACTTTGGAATTAGCAGAAACCTTGATGCAGAAATCTTCATTTCTGGGTTTCTTTGGGAAATGATACAGCCACTCCACCCAGTAGAGTTCTCAGACGGTGCCTACGGCAGCTGAAATGTAAATTGCTAAGCTTTTTTTTTTTTTTTTTTTAGATAAAGCTGACAGTTGAGTTCTGTGATCAAACTGCACACATACTCCAGTGGCTGCGTAAGGTTAGTGGTCACCACACTAGAGTAAGAAGATGTGAGATTTCCATCATCAATTGGTCCAGGAGTCTTGCTGAGTCATCTCTGAGGCTAGTAAATGCAACTCGGGCAGATTTAGTTGACACTTATCTAAGCTGCTGATGTTTGTGAGACAGTTTACTAGTTCTTCTAGTGCTACACACACACACACACACACACACACTCACTCACACACGGTGGGGGTTTGGGGAAGAAAGAGAAATATTGGTTGATTGATTCCACCACCTTCTAGCATTCCTGTTTATCCACAAAACCCAATGAAAAGGCCATCCCGCTGATTCCCACGTCCCTGGGCCTCTCTTGTCTGTGTCCTCTTCTGTGTTTACTTGACCGAGCAACCCAGCTGACTTGCCGAGCAAGCAGAAGGCTGAAAACTAGGTGCTTCCTAAAACCCCCCTGGGTTTTATGTATTCTGCAAATACCTCTTACAAATGGAAGACCTGTGCTTGGCATAGCCTCTGCGTAGAATTGATAAGGTTCTTTCTAAACACGGCTGACTCTGACACTTGATAGCTGCTGTAGGTGTGAATAAAGTTAGCCAGTTTTGACTGGCTTGCTCAGGGGAAGTTTGCTCTATTTTAAAAGTCAACCCCAAATTATCTTCTGCTTACACAGTCTCTGATATTTATAAAATATGTCTTTTGGGTCATTTAATTTGACACTTGTAAGAAGAAGCATGTAGTCCGAGACAAAATATTTATGAAAGAGGCTCAGGGAGGTAGAGGGGTTTGCCTGTGGTCACACAGTTGGTAGCTGGCAGAGTCAAGCTTTGAGTCAGACTAGATTAGTGGCTCTCTACCTTCCTAATGCTGTGGTCCCTTAATACAGTTCCTTATGTTGTGGTGACCCTCAACTGTAAGATTATTTTCATTGCTATTTCATATCTGTAGTTTTGCTATTTTATGAATCATAATGTAAATATCTGTGTTTTCCCATAGTCTTAGGTGACTCCTGTGAATGAGTCATTTGGTGCCCAAAGGGGTCATGACCCACAGGTTCAGAACAGAACCACTGCTGTAGAAACTGAACTCAATGAGTGTCTTTAATGCTGGACTTGGAGAAGTGGCCACTGTAGTTGGGTGGCATGGGAGCTATTCTCTCTATCTCTTCCTTTCTTTCTTTCTTGGAAGCAGATGAAGATATATATTCAAAAGCAACCAATGTATGTTATTCTAGACCAAACTGAATGTGTTAGTGCTCATGGGTGCTGAATAACTGGTGGGGTCCTTTCTAGAGCAGGCCTCTTTCCAGTTCTCCAACACCCTGGGCCTTTGCTCTGCCCCTTCCCCCACCCCTGCCCTGTCCCTGCTTCCTGTATGGCTGTAACTCTAACAGCTTCTGCTCAAGTTCAGACAGCATTTTGACTCCAGTGACTATGTTACGCCTCTTGTAAAAGCCTGTCCTCTGCTTTTGAAGTGACAAATACAGTCTGAAACACCTCTGTCATCTCCTCATTGTCAGTGGCTTTGAATCAGATCATGATATGCAAAAAGACTAAGAGAAAAGGCTCTTAGGCTAGGTGCAGAGGTCAGAGCAAAGGAGACACTTGTAGACAGAAACTTCAGTTTGTAGAATGTTAGAACACAAGAGGGTGCTTGTTTATTGAAAACATGCTCTGCATAAGATATGTTCTGGATCCAGGTTTGCAGTGTGTGCTAAAGAGGCTTGGTCCTCAGTGTTAGCTTGTGCGGTCATCTGATGGAGAGATTATCAATTGTTGGTACTGAGATGATTACAGAGGTGTTTCAGACTGTGGTTGTCACTTCACAAGCAAAGGGTGGGCTTTTGAGACGTGTACCATGCTCACACAAGCCAGAACGGTGTTTGAACATGAGCAGAAGCCGTTAGAGTTACACAGATAGCAGGGAGAGAGCAAAGCCCTGGGCTGTTGGAGAACCGGAAAGAGGCCTGTGTGCTGCTGATGGTGGAGGGGTGAGGAGGGTGGGTAAAGCTGAGGCAGGGGGATACAGGTATCATTTACCGGGCCTTTGACTTAAGAGCTGTCATCAGCTTTCAAAGCATTTAAAGCAGAGATTACATTATTGAATGCATTCTTGCTTTGGCAGCAGTCTGGAGAATGTTTTGAAGCAGGAAATGGGCGTTTTAGAAGTTCCTGGCTAGAGACGGTGGTGCACGGTGTCGGCAGTTGGGATGAAAAGGAATGGCAAATTCCCAGAGGGATGTAGGAGATGGCAAAACAGCCAGTAAGGTTGCCTTCTGAGTGCTGGTGCTGTAATGGGATGGATGGCAGAGTTGGCCCTGAGGTCTAGAACTTTGAGAAAAGGCTCATCTTGAGAAACATCAGCCTTGGACATCAGAGACATAGCAGAGTTGAGGGCTTGGAGACTCAAGCTGAGAACCAAGCTGGGCTTAGCTGTCAAAGGTATTGGTGTAAGGAATCCCTGGGCATGTGTGAATCCCACCCCTGCCCAGGGAGAAGAGAGGAAGCCAGCCCAGGAGCCAAAAGAGGTGGAGGGACACCCAGAGTACTGGCATATTATGTCACTGTGGCTGAGTAAAAATTATTTTAAAAGAGTGGCCCACTTTTTTATATCTCTAAATCATTTTCCTCATAATGTCCAAATGGATTAAATGGTGGCCCCCATGCATCTCTGGTCCAAGGGACAGTTGGCTCACTGTGTCATTGCGGTTCTAGACGTATGGTTTCAGACAACTGAGTGTCAGAAATTGCAAAGGGGAATTGCATCCGAACTAAAGACACACAGGCTATTTCATCTTGTTATTCCCCAAGCAATATCACATATGAATCATTTATGTAGCATTTACACAGAGTTAGACATTCTAAGCAATCTAGAGATGATTTAAAGTCTACAGGAAATGTGTATAGGTTATAAGCAAATAGTTTTATAGGAGGGCCTGGGTGTCTCTGCAGGGTCCTGGCATCAATCTCCTACGAATACCAAGGGACAACTGTACATCATTTATTCATGTGACAGATTGTGGTGTGTGTGTCATGTGTGTGTGTGTCTGTGTGTGGTGTGATACCAGGAACAATAACCTCTTTTCTTCTCTCCTACGTCACTGCCCTTTTTGGCTGCCACTATGGCCTGCTGCCAATTTGCGTTTACTTCAAACCCAGGAATGACTGAGCATCTGTGGTCTCTGCAACTGTGCAGTTCTACATCAGACTCCCCGGATTGATGCCAGCCAGGATGCTGTTCTGAGTTAACCACATGCAGCTCAACAGTTAGCTGCTGGTGTGTGAGGGAAGCACCAGTAGACGGGACGCTCCCTGTCTAACCTGCTGCCATACTCCTCACTGCTGTTCTCATTGCAGGATGTCTGGTGCTCCTCCGAGTTACTCTTTTGTGGCTCTGCCACCTCGAGCTAAGGATGGTCTGGTGGTATTTGGGAAAAATTCAGCTCGTCCCAGAGATGAAGTACAGGAGGTTGTGTATTTTCCAGCTGTTGACCATGAAGCTGAGAGCAAAGTCGAGGTAAGTGATAACATGTGGTCCCTCTGCTTCTTCCAATGCCGCCTTCTGGCTTTACCTCCTAACCACCGGCGTCTTCCCTGGAAGCCTGCTTACCTTTCAGACGATCCTGTTATTTCGACTACTACCAGTTTTTTCATGCAGATGTGCTCAGAGCCTTAACAACAAGGGCACCTGGAGAATTCTGTGTTCACAATTGTCTTATGGTTAAAGAAAATAATTAATGTAATCCCAAAGACAAATCTGGAAAATAAGATAGATTCATCAAAGTCTGTCTTGCCTCCTTTCTCTCCATAAGAAATCTCGAATGCAGTATCCTCTTGCCTCAGCCCACTGAGTGCTGTGATTATGGGATTATATGGGTACACCACTATAGCTGGGCTGCTTTTTTTTTTCTCAACAGAACCCATATTGTGGTGTCTTACATTTTTTGTTGCTGTGATAAAACACTGTGACCAACCAACTTTCAGAAGGAAGGGTTTGTTTGGGTAAGAGGGGTAAGAGTCCGTCACCACCACATGGGAAAAGCCTGGCCGAGGGCAGGTGTGGCAACTGGGGCAGCAAGCTGAGCACTCACATTTTGAACTGAAGGCAGGAAGCAAAGAGCACTCTGGGAATTGCATGTGGCTTTTAAAACCCCAAAGTCCACTCTCAGTGGCATACTTCCTCTAGTAAGACCATATATTCTAAACCTATCCAAACAGTGCTACACACTAGGGACCTAGCATTCAAACATCTGAGCCTATGAGGACATTCACATTGAAACCAACACACTTGGAGGTCAGAAGTTTCAGTATACACTACATAGACTCCTTCATTGTGTAGCTTTGCATTCTGTGGTCAGCGGCCCCATATTCGTGTCGGACATTGGGTTGTTTTCTAGTTCTTTGCAGCGCTGGATACACGGTAGCCTTTTGTTTCCTCAAATCTATCACAATGTCTTATTTTTGTATTTCTAGCCTGTTAAAGATAGAAATCTCTATAATTGTCCATCATTTTCTATCTTGAATGCTTTAAAATTTCATTTTTATTAGTACTTATTTAGGGTACATGACTAGGAATGAGATTCCAGGTCGAAAGCTAAATAAACATGTGATTCATACTTCTTCCCATTGGTGGTTTACTATTTTGCATGTCTACTAGAAATGCATTTCTACATGTCTAGTAGAAATGTCTACTAGAAAGACAGTGTGTGTCTTTGTATTTCTCGAATGTGTTATTGGACTTTCATGATGGTTGTCTTAGGTTATTTTTAAGTTCAGCTATTTTACCAAATTCTTTTTCAGCTCTGACAGCTTTTGCCATGGATTCTTTTGGAGTTTCCAGGCGTCCTGTTATGGCCCCCAAGGAGGAGTACTTTTGATTCCTACACCTCTGATTACTTTCTTGTCTGTTGTGTTGGCTTCTATCTTGAATGCAGTGGAGACAGTGGTGTCTTTGCAACTGGGCCTGGTTGAGTAGGGAATGCCTGTAGACATCCACATCAGGATGTTGGTGTGGCGACCAAGGTTTGTATAGCTTTACTACATCAAAATCTCAACATACATTCCTATTTGAATGCCTTAAAAATAGGTCAAAGGTATGTGCTGAACTCTGTTGAAGTTCTTTTTTTTTTCTCCCAGTTATGGGGAGTATTGCCTAATTTCTTCCTTTCTATTTCTTTGGTGAATTGAGCCATGAGTTATGCTTCTCAGTTACGGTATATTTATTTGTATGTGTAAATGGTGGTTGTTAAATGATTAAGAATTTGTAAAGAAAAACTGGACTAGTAAGTGAACAAGCTCTTTCTACACCTATACTCCTTAGTATTCTATGTTGGAACAAATAAAAGATTTTTCTCGCATCCTGCTACTTCTTAAAGGTGCGGTTACCAACATGTCCGGTGTTTTCTGAACAACCATTTCTGCTTCAATCTTTTAAGTATACATTAACACCAAAAGGTAACAGACCCTGATGAGGAGCTGCCTGTTTTGAGGAAGGCAGAGTTGGGTGTGACTTGATCTAGTCATTCCTGTACAGGATGGTGGGAGACTGTGTCCTAGAGGGCTTTCAACAGGACCACTTGCATCTTGAGTTGAGTCACTAACTAGTCCGTGTCTCCAACCTTCAGTGGAATTCTCATGCAGGCGAAGAGAAGTGTGAATTTCTCTGCTAAGCTTGTCAGATTCCACTGTCTATTCCTCAGTGAGTGAATACCAGTGCCATTTAGATGGGAATTTTTTTTTTTCAGGAACAGGGCAGACTACATGGATGAAACTTGCTGGCTTGAGTTGTTGTCTTCTCCTGTCTGCTTTCCTAAATATCTTTACCCCACATCCTGACTGTAGAGACATACAAACTGAAACAGTCTTGTAGTTTTTAAAGGTTGGATTTAAATTCCCAAAGGCAGTGGTGTCAAGTACCACCCCATGTATACTTCTTATAAAGTGAAGAGTGTTCCTCGCAGGCAGAGGGATGGTTGGGGTCTGCATCACTTATCTTAATCACAAACATGGATGTTGCTGGTGGCTTGTGATTGCTCTGACCAATGGGCTTGGAGAAGTGGTGATACTGAGCGATGTCCAGGGCTGGATAATAAGACAATGTTGTTCTTTTCTGTCGGTCCATGAACTCTAAGCTAAGAACTGTCATCTGTCCTGTTAGGAGGTATTAAAGTAGTCCACATATGCAAGGCAGGTCCCACATGGATGAAACCTGAGGACTAATAGTCAGCTACCAGTATTAAGTACCCACACATAGATAAAAAACCTTTTGGTTGATGGAGTCCCAGACTGGAGTGGAGAAAGGAGACACAATGTCTGGCTGTTTGCTACTCGCATGCCTGATCCATTGAATCTATGAGCACAATAATTGGTTGTTAATACCATTTGCTTTAGGGATAATTTGTTAAGTAAGCATAGTTTCTGTAATATTATACAAAATCCTGGTATAAAGTTTTACAGGGCTCATGGCTGCTCTGTCAGAGAACCCTGGTTCGAATCCCAGCACTCGCACAGCAGCTCACAAATCATCCCCCACTCCAGTTCCAGGGGATCTGGCACCCCTTCCTGGACTCTTCAAGCAGCAGAGATACTTGTGGTACATAGGCATACACACAGACAAAACACACATAATTCTTTTAAAAAAAAACAGTTAAAAAGAACAAACAGTTTCAGAAAGTCTGTTTTCTTTCTTCTTTAACAAGCTAAGTAGTGACTAACACTCTGCTGTCACATCAAGAATCATCCCAGGAAACAGACATGGTTCTGTTCCCTGGCAAACCCACAAAATATTATCACTCATATGTGCTGTAAGATGAGTCGTGAGCTCTTGCATAGGTAGAGGCGGGGTCGCTGATATCTAACAGTCTGGGGTGCTCCTGACCTCTTCTCCACAGCTCCACACCTATGTCGTGAGCTGCTGCTGCATGCATGTGTATTTGGCAGGAAACTTTAGGGACCTCGTTGGATGAAGTGGGTCTCTGGGGGCCCAGTCGTCCCCCTCTCTTTCTCTGCTTCCTGGTCACCATGAGGTGAGCAGTGGTGCTCGATCATATGCACACTGCCGTGATGCTCTGCTACACCACAGCCTCAGAGACAACAAGCAGAGTGGCCACTCATGGAAGCCTGAGCCAAAGCAAACCGTAGTCACCGGGCACAGGATCTTAGTGGCTGAATTGTCATTGACATTTGTGTCTCAGTCTGATTTTTAGCCTTCCTCTTGCCGCTTTAACTTCTTATAGTTATGGGTCTCCATTTATCCTTGTCACAAGTACAGAATGGCATCTTCTTTTAGATATTTGTTGCTGTGAACCACAACCACTATCATGAGACTTCCACAGATGCACTCTACCGAACAGACTTAAAACAAAACAAAGAAACCTCTGAGAGCGTCTCATAAGAAGCAGTCAGGGGCTGGAGAGATGGCTCTGTGGTTAAGAGCACTGGCTGCTCTTGCAGAGGACCCAGGATCAGTTCCCAGCACCCACATGGAAGTTCAGAATTCCACGTGGTGGCTCCAGTTCCAGAAGATCTGATGCCCACTTCTGACTCCCATGGGCACCAGGCTCACACAGGGTACACAAGTACACGGCGGCAGAACACTCCTGCACATAAAATAAAAATGAACCTAAAATTTACTTTCGATATCATCATTTAATGAAATCAGCATCTCACCCGTCTCATGCTGGTGGAAGCACATGGATCCTGAGATTTGCTTAGAAACTCCCAGGAGGGTGTTAAAGCGGCCTCCTGACATGACAGCTAATACATCCTCCACGTTGCCTCTGCCTTGTTTGTCCACCTACCCTTCTGTCTCTCCCCCCACCCTTCCTCTTCCTATCTGTCATTCCCATTTACCTGTCACTCTGCCTGAGATGCTCAGAGAATAAGAAACGGAGTTCCCCAGCGTGAGAGTCTCAGTCTAAATTTACACTGAATGCCTTTGTTCCAACGCACAGCTTGGGGACTGAGACATCTGGGTTTGATATTCTTTTCAATGAGGATTCTCAGTTTATAACAACTTCTTTTAGGGCTGAAGAATAGGATTCATAAGACTTTTTTTTCTATTTATCATTATGCATAAGAACTGTTGTAGAAATTATTTAAATCCCGCCTGGGGCTTCTACCCGGTCTTTGGTTATTGAGTTCCCAGATAAAGCACACTCCCAGCCTTTATATTTACAACAGGCCTTCATCAATACAAGAGCTAGGCAGCCGCCTACCCTCCATGCTGTCAGAATCTATTTTTCTATCGATAACCCTGAGTTATTATTTACTATGTCGCATCTGGGCTGCTCTTAGCTCCAATTGGGCAGCCCTCAGGGCTGCGCTTTCTTGACTCTTAACTGATGGCTGCTTCTTCTTCCTCTCCTGTACCTTCTTCCTTCTTGTGGTCCTCCTTTCTCCCTAAACCCTCGAAACCTAAACCCCACCCATGTCTCTTCTGCCCAGCTATTGGCAGTCCAATTCACCAACCAGAATTAACTTGGGGGTGGGGTCACAGAGGCAACAGTGGACTCAAGG